GAATAACATCAACTGATTCGTGGATATTCAAGAGTACTGATGTCTATGAAGCCGATCTTGTAGCATGTGTCTCTAAAACTCCACCCTGGCTCTGCCGAAGCCGAAAGTAGGAAGCCTCAAGCCTGATCGAACATGCATGACTATCCTGTCCCGATAAAAATCTTCAAGATTCAAATTGTGGGTTGCAGTCAGTGGCTTAGCATGGTTGGGAATGTGAATGGCTGAGGGCGCACGTGCCATCGCGGCGAACACGCGATTGACTCTCACACCCCCAGGCGTCAACATAAAATGCAAGGGCCCTAACATTACCGATGGAGGCATTGCTCGAAGGCCTTAACGATGCGCAAAGGAGTGCGGTAACCAGTCCTGCAAGTGTTGTGCAGGTCCTCGCACCGCCGGGGTCTGGTAAGACGAAAACACTCACTGCGCGCGTCGCGTATCATGTCAATCATGAGCGCTTGCAGCCATGGAACATCATTGTTTGCACCTTCACCATTAAAGCTGCGAGGGAAATGAAAGAGCGCATTAAGGGGTTTGTTGGCGATAAACTCGAGGCCAAATTGATTCTTGGAACCTTCCACTCGGTTGCACGTCGCTTCTTGTCTCGATACGGACAGGAAATTGGAATCGATAAAAACTTTGGCATTGCGGATACAAATGACACTACTGCAATACTCAAGCGTATCATCTCTCGTCACCAGTATACCGTGGAGCCAGGCCATGCTCGTTCAAGGATCTCGAAGCAGAAATCAAAGGGTATTTCTGCGGACAGCTTCAAGGCAGCATCCAAAAGCGTCAACGACAATGAGTTTGCCATGGTGTACTCTTCGTATGAAGAGCATCTCAAGGCTTCCAATCTCCTCGACTATGACGACCTTCTTGTGCGGTGTGTTGAGCTGCTGAGGCGACATCCATCATGTGTTTCAACTATCCAGGCTGTACTTATCGACGAATACCAGGACACCAACAACATTCAGTACGAGCTAATGAAACTCCTGGCTCAAAGTACAAAACGCATTACGATTGTGGGCGATCCTGATCAAAGTATCTACAGCTTCCGCTCGGCGGAGATCAAGAATCTCTTGCGCATGCGGGATGAGTTTCCTGAGTCCATTGTCATCAACCTCGAGAATAACTATCGATCCTCCGGCTGCATTCTCAACTCGGCTTTAGCAGTCATTGAGCAGGACGAGAGTCGTCCACAGAAGGCACTAATCGCAACGCATGGGGTGGGTGAACCGCCCACGCTCCGCCACCTCGCATCGGCACATGTCGAGGCAAAGTGGATAGTTGAAGAGATCAAACGCACCAAGACCCTTGCAGCTGGTCTGCTGACGTATAACGACTACGCCATTCTGCTACGCTCAAGTCCGCTATCGCTTCAGATCGAACGAGCTCTAGGACAAGAGGGAGTACCTTACCGGATGGTAGCTGGCACGAAGTTCTTTGATCGTGCAGAGATCAAGATAATTCTAGACTACCTACGCGTAATTAGCCAACCGGAACACAACGATGCCGTCGCTCGTGTCATCAACCTTCCTTCCCGAAAGGTCGGCGATGTGACAGTCAAAGCTCTGCTGGAAGAAGCCGAGCGTAAGAAAGTCACTCTATGGAAGCTAGTCCTCGATATTGCGCAGGGACGCAAGAGAACTGAGTGTAAAGTGTCCGCCCAAGCACAGAAAGGTATAGATCAGTTTGTGAACGTAATCCTTACGTCTCGCGAAAAATTACTCCCGACCGAAGGTGAGCATTGTGACCTCTTCGGACTAATTGGACATGTGTTGCGGAAAATCTCTTTCGAGGCCTATCTCAAGCAGACGCACAAGGAAAACTGGCAAGACCGATGGGCAAACGTCGAGGAGCTCGTGGCCCAGGCGACGCAGATGGCTACGGCGATGGCGAGTGGAGAAGAGATCACTGATGATGCTTTGCCTGAAGTCGAGGGGATCGAGCAGCGACATGATACTGCTGCCGACATTCTCTCAAAGTTTCTTGCAAACGTTACGCTATCCAGCATTGCCGATCAAGATGGTGGAGAGATAGAACAGGTCACAATCTCCACCATCCACGCAGCAAAAGGTCTAGAGTGGCCAGTTGTTTTCATGCCCGCGCTCTACGACGGGTCGATTCCTCATTCGCGAGCAGATGACCATGACGAGGAAAGACGATTGTTGTATGTGGGCATGACGCGTGCGCAAGGATTCTTATATCTTAGCTGCCCAGTTAGACAGTCTGGACAGGAAACGACCACTTTATCGAGGTTTATTTCAGAAAGAACTGTACAGAAGCACTTCAGCGAGCGAGGGCCGGATCTGGCTTTCAAACAATCTACGATTCCGGGCCTAGCAGACATTCTACGAAGACTTTGCCCAACAACGGAGGACCGGAACGCTGCTCGTAGCCTTCTCGAGAGACTAGAAGATGACAAGTATCCTGACACGAGAGAGGAGATTGATGGCGATAGTTCATCGTGGGGCACATCTTGGAACGATAAGCGCAACGGGTCCGCACCAAGTAACGACAAGGCACAGCCTGCCTTCAAACGACGCAAGCTTGAGCCCACCTCTTCAACCTCTAATGGGTCCGTCACAGTAACCATGGAGAGGACATCTGGGTTCTCAATGGCATCCACAACCATGCACACCGTCAAAGCGGGATTCACCAGCGCCCGCGATCTGGGGGACATACAAGCCATGCAACGAGAAGCAGAACGCATCCGCATGCTTGCCAGCGCCCAAGCAGCAGAAACCGGCCGGACAGCATACAAAGAAGACAAAAAGGCAGAATTAAAGCCCGCGCAGGCAAAAAAAGCAAAACCCCGAGCACTCGGTCAAGGAGCAATTACAAGCTTCTTCAAAAAACCAGCGGGCTCACCATCAGAAGAGGTAGAACAGCCGCCATCAGCACCTCTACCTTCTTTCCACCGAGCAGCACAACCTCCATTCTCGAGCAGCGGCGCGTTACACGATATTTCCAACGTCAAATCCTCGCGGCCGACCTCCCAGCCCCTGTGCGTCCCGGCCTACAAGCCGCACACCCGCCCAATGGCCAGTAAGCCGAAACGCAGCGATCCGACGACGCCCGATGCAGCGAGCACTAGATACGTGCTCTTGTCGAGTTCGCCGGCGAAAGCGGAACACGACCGTGCTGACGATGAGGATGGGGTGGAGCACAATCAGGAGAGTCCCGCGAAGAAGTTGTTGTTGTCGTCGTTTACGGCTGCGGGTGCGTTTCGGGGTGCGTCTGCGTCTGCGTCGACGTTGCGTGGGACGTCGGTGGGGCAGGTGCAGGTGCAGAGGAAGACGTTGGGGACGAGGAGGTCGATGCAGGGGTGGAGTGTGAAGCATAGTAGTATGCCGAAGCCGCGGCCGGAGTGACGGTATTTGGATGGGCATTGGGTTGGCGTTTTGGCGGGTGTGGTGGTGTATCATATATCTTTTGTATAGATAACGGGTTAGGGGCAGAGGGGATTGGAAGGTAGGAGATATATATATATATCCTTGATCGATGAAATATTACAGGTAGCATAATCTACATCGAATCTCATGGTGTACAGTCCGCAATTGAATATCAGCCATGCATCGCTCCAAGCACCAAATGCCCAATCCAATCCAGTCCAATCCAAACAAATAAAAAACCCTACGAAATAGGCATGGTATAATACACCCCCCCAAAAATCAAACCCCAACACACATCCCCCCCAGACTCAATGCGCATGCAAAGCCTCCTCCTCCATCGCCAAAACCCCCGCCTCCAACTCCCTAACCCGCCCCCCAACCCTCCTCCTCACCTCCTCCCCAACCCCATCTTCAACACCACCACCAACAACCCCCTCATAAAACTCCAACAACGCATCCAACTCCTCCCTCGCCGCAACACGATCGTCCGCCGCATACGTAGAATTCTTCTCCGACTCCTCGCTCGCGATGTCGAATTCGTCTTTCGCGGAGCCGTACAAGTCCGTGATTTGCTCAATGGCTTCGTCGACGCGTTTTTGGGCCGCGGGGGAGAGCGCAGGGGAGGAAGATGAGGAAGAAGAGGAAGAAGAAGAGGAAGAAGCAGGTGTGGGCGAAGGCCAGGAGGGGCGGGGTGTGTGTGTGAAGGTGCGGATTGAGGAGAGTGTGTAGGGCGTTGTGAAGCGGGTCCATTCGTGTGGGGCGCCGACGGTGATGTTGCGAGCTTGGTAAGGGGGAGGGGGGCTTGGGGAGCGGGGGCGGGCGAATGGTTGGGTGTGGAATGATTGTTGGGTGACTGGGTATGAGGCGCGTTGGAGGGTTGTTACGGTTGTGCGGAGTGTGGTTTGGTGGATGAGGGCGCGGAGTTGGGCGGGGTTTGGGGGCATTTTGGGCGCGGTTGAGTGGTGGTATGGCGCGAATTGGAATTGAATTGCACGGCGTGTTGCGGTGCGCAGGAGTGGCGCTTTGGTGAAGAGAGTGTGAGACATTTTGGGCGTGTGGGTGGTAGGGTGGTAGATTGGTGAGGGTGGATGGAAGCCTGAGGTTGGAGGGCTGCGGACTTAAAGCTTCAGCTGTCATCCTGCCGACACATGACTACCCATGACACACAGCCAGCACCAAGCCACCACAACTTTTAACAAAACCCCAATATGAATTCTTGGCTTGTTATAGTTGGCTGTAGAATGGCTGTATCATTGAGTAGAGCTGATAGGGAGAATATATGAATCGGAAACAACACAGGTTAGGAAAGAGAGAATGGGCTTCAGGTCATCATAACTTATTTCCTATCTGCCCTATAACTGGAATAGTGATGTATGGACCTGTATTTTGTAATTCTTAGATATAATTTAAGAACATGTAAACGCACAGTGAAGACAAGTAGCGATTTCATATCAGCCCTGATGATACCCCACTTGCAGGCAAAAGCGATTGTACGGAATGGCCAGCAAAAATCACCAAATTGAGGTTTGAATATTTCAACTTGAGACCGCAACAAGCAAAAATAAATCATCCTTAGATGCATTCCTCTAACCCAAAAAGAGATGACTCATGAGCGGATCGAACGCTCGACCTTCAGTGTGTAAAACTGACGTGATAACCACTACACCAAAGAGCCTCGGATGGATATCTAGAGTTTTGTGAAATTAAACTTTATATAATGCTACTAGATTGAGATAAGAACCTGTATGGAACTTCCTTCATGCCAAGTAAGCCTATCGGATCGCAATTTCATCTGCGCCATTGCAGTGCTGTAATTTTCCTTCTGCTGACGCTCCACCATGAACGTCAGAATTCTCACACATCTACGTGCATAAGATCAGCCACCTCTCGCGTTTATGAATATCCACGTAGAATCTGGCAGAGGGAAGCGATTTATTTTTTGATACTCATACTATTGCTTTATAGCAACTTTGTCTGTATCAGAAGAGAAGTTTTTAAGTAGGACTCGATTGAGATGCTCGCGAGTAAGGTCGATCGGGCAAGGAGCTTGTCGTAAGGACAGGACGGCACTCTTTGTACAACTAGACAATGAGATCTCTCTTAGACACATAAACGGCTGAGGCCTGTATTTGCATATTCTGGCCCTTTTGAATTCCAATTCTTCATTCATGAAGCTTCCAGGATGGCGGTTTCTTTTTCACACTTCTCTCTCAATAAAAAATGTTTCACAGAATGATGATTGTGCAGCTAGCATTGATAGAAATGACTAGATTAAAAGATATAATTCGCTATAATGTGATACGTTGATCAGATCATGATATGCTTCGACACCACGTGTATTCCCTGAAAACGCCTTGCTAAATGCGCATAAAAGGATATCAAAAGAAAACGAAACTAATTAGGCCAACGGGGTACATGTTCCTGACTCTCACATTATCCTACCACCACCGTCTTGAATTTCTTCCATTTGTAGCACATTGCAGGCAGTGTCGTCGAGCCGATACCACGGCACAAGTTCCGCACACGTTCTTGCCGCAATCACTGCAAGCAAAGGGGGTGCTTTCTACGGCACCTCCCATGTCCATGCCCATATCTATGTCCATGCTATCGTTGACACTCTGTAACGGTGCGTCACAATCATCACAGAGCGGCGAGAGCGAGTCAATTTGTTGTGATTGCGGCTGAACTGAGAATGTAAGGGGCTGAACAGGCGGTGCAGGAAGTTGTTTCCAGAAAGAATGCAATGTTGACTTTTGCGGCTTTGAGAGTTGTGTGGTGAGGTGCTGGGATGGAATTGTGTCGGATGGTGCAGGTGCAATATCAAGATGATTGCGTTGGGCGGCGAAGAGTTTGCTTAATGTGTTTTCTGTAGAATATCAGTGTGTGGTCGTGTTGTGTTGGATTGGATTGAATCATACCGTGGATGGCACGCTCATCGGGGCGATTGTCGCGAACCCGTTTTCGTGTCCGATTACCCCAGTCACCGCTCTTCACTCGACCAATACTCCCAAAGTCCCAGCCATTGTGTCGTGACGATGCATCGGCTTCCATGTCCATTGGGCCATGGAAAGTCTGGGGAAACGGTGCTAGTGATGGTGCATCAGGGGTGCATATAGAGCCGTAGCTGGACATGGAAAGTGGTGACTCGTCGTCGGAGCGCTTGCGTTTAATAACCATGATTGTTGGTGATATTATTGATAGAGCGTAAGGGAGGGTGTGCGACGTGGATTGGAAAGGTGGTGTAAGGCTGGGAGGGTGAGACGGGCTGGCAGGTGTGTAATAGGTAATGGTGCAGATGGCTGGCTGGTCGGCTGTGGCGCGTCGCGTGTTGCACATTCGCGTCCGCGACGAGGGGCTTAAACATTAACATGGGGCTATCTGCACTCTATTCCAATATGAGTGTTTGCACGAAACACAGACAGAAAACGAAAATTTTATTCTTCCTTTCAATACCCTATCAGGTTTCAGGTTTCAGGTTTCAGGTTTCAGATGTTACTGAAACTTGATCGAGATGATAGCCTTGCATTGGTCGCGACACAGGTAGCTTTTGCCCCACCAACGGTTCACAGCTACCCCGCGAGCATCACCAGTACACTATCCATCACCAACACTCGCTTGATCACGACTCTTCTTGATATCACCTTCATCTGCCAACATGGTCACCCGTAGAGCCACTCACGCTGGTTCATGGTACACAGAAAATGGCCAACTTCTTTCACAGCAACTCGACGGCTGGCTAGGAGCTGTCCCTAGCTCGACTACACCCATTGGCTCAGCATCTTCCCAGCAAGGACAAGTCACGTTACCTACACCAAATGCTCGAGCTATAATTGCTCCGTAGGCTACAACATAATAGATTGTGGTAGAATCTGAGGCTCATGGTTACGCAGACATGCTGGATACTCATACTCCGGGCCTGCTGCAGCATGGGCCTACAAGAGTGCTGACTGGACGAATGCGTACGTTCGCGCATATACCTACTAATCTTATAGTCTGACTGATTCCATAATAGCAAGCGTGTATTTCTACTCGGACCGTCGCACCATTACTACCTCAGCGGCGCTGCAACAACCGCCTGCGACAAGTACAGCACACCTCTAGGAGACCTAACAGTAGACACAAAGCTAGTCAACGAGATCCAACAAAAATGGAACCTCGAGACAATGACCAGAAGCGTAGATGAAGACGAACACAGCTTAGAAATGCATCTCCCATACATCTACAAGATGCTCTCACTGCAAGTTCACCTTACCCTACCACTACCCCAACTCACATCAAACCAACTAACACCCTGACCCCCCTCTAGAACAAACCCAACCTTCCAATCCACCCCCTCATCCGTCCCCCTAATCCCAATCATGATCGGCAACACCAACCCCACAACCGAAACATCCCTCGGCACCCTCCTTGCCCCCTACCTCTCCGACCCCTCCAACCTCTTCGTCATCTCCTCCGACTTCTGCCACTGGGGCTCGCGCTTCAGATACACATACTACCAATCCGCAGATGGGGCCACGGCCTCGCAGCTACGCTCGAGCTCCAAGGTCGCGCGCGAGTGGCCGATCCACGAGAGTATTGCGGCGGTCGATCGGGAGAGTATGGACGCCGTGGAGAGTGGGGTGCATAGGGCGTTTTTGGAGCAGTTGGGGGAGTCGGGGAATACGGTTTGTGGGAGGCACCCTATTGGGGTGTTCATGGCGGCGGTGGAGAAGGCGGAGGGGTTGGGGGAGGGGAAGGGGAGGTTTAAGTTTTTGAGGTATGAGAGGAGTGGGTTGGTGGAGGATGTCAAGGATAGTAGTGTTTCGTATTGTAGTGCGTTTGCGCTTCTCTAGGCCTTTAAGAACAGAAAATGCTGTTTAAATAGATGCATATCGTACCAAACGTATCACCCCTTAGAAGAATCTACTAGCAAGTCTCCGCACCTGCTCAGGATCCACATCCTCCTTCATTTGCCCCCCATGCAACAAAACATCCAATTCATCCTTATACCTCGTCAAACCCTCCACACCCACCCTCGACCTACTCGGCATCTCAACACCCACCTTGGACCTACTCTGCACCTCATCCGCAATACGCTTTTCCTCCATTTCATCCTTCAGAATCTTGACCTGTTTCTGAATCTCGATCCACAGCTCCAAATGCTCGAGATCAGGATCTTCTCTGGCGCGTTTCATCATCAGGTATTCGAGGATGGTGGAATCGGGGCCGTCGACTTGTGATAGGGGATCGTGTGGGCCGGCCCAGGGGTGGGATTGGTTTGCGAGTGCGCCTGAGCCGCCGCGGGATGCGATGGCGAGGAGCGAGGCGACGAAGGCTTCCTGCATGTATGCGAAGGAGAATTTGTCAGTAATGTCTGCGATTTTTTGGCACAGTTTGTCGGGGAAGTCGACGTCTTTGTTGTCTTGTAGTTTTTGTTGCCAGAATTCGGCATACTGGACGCGCTGGTCGTAATTGGGGTCGGAGAAGTAGTATTTGCGATCGAAGCGGCTGGGGCGCTTTGAGATGCCTGGGTCGAGACGGTCGAGGTGGTTTGTGGAGCCGACCATGAGGATGCCGTCATTGGACTTTAGGCCATCGACCTCGTTGAGAAAGTATGAACGGACGTTGTCGCTGACGATTGAGTCGAGGTCTTCGAAGACAAGGTAGCATGGTGCTTCTTGCCGAGCTTTGGAAAAGATCTGTCGCAGCGAGTATTCTGGGCCGGCGAAGGATGACAATGTACGGACGTAGAGGGTGGGGACTGTGAGTCGCTTATCTCCTTCTTCAACGCCTCGCTGATAGAGGCTGTGCATCATGGCCTTGATACTAATTGTCTTGCCATTCCCTGGCGGGCCATAGTAGATGATACCCCGTTTCCAGGGCACCTTCAAGTTCTGGTACGTGTTCTGTCCGTCAAAGAAGTTTTCCACGTCGGCAATGAGCGCCTTTTTCATGTCTTCATCGAGAATCACGGCGTCCCAGCTAGCTTTTTGAACAGATTGGTACAGCTCAGCACTCTTCTGCCAAAAACCCTGATCAAACACCCATACTTCGTTGTGCAATCGCACGCCCCATGTTGCGGCCAGCTTGATCAACTCATCTACCTTGTGTTCATTGGTGGTGAGGATGTACTGGTTCGATATCGTTGGATACGCCGACGAGCCATCGCGCCCATTTGCAATGTATAGTATGATCTCCAGGTCATTCCACTTGTACAAGTATTTGCCAAAGACAACGTTCTCCACAAAGGCTCCAGGCCTGTTGTCAAGTCGACTAAACGGAGGCAAGTAGTAACGCCACTTGAGCCCCACGCTATAAACAGGGTCTTTTACAGCATCCTCGAGTGGAGTAGCTTTGGCGAAACCAGCCGAGGCGTATGCTAGCAGGTCTGTGATGTCTTTTGGCACAATAACAAGCTCAAGGTTGGGGTATTGCTTGCGAATGGCCTCGGCAAGGACGGCATCTGTGTTGATGCGCTGGGCAGACGAGTGGTGGAAGTATTCGCGGCTTGTTAGATCCTCATGGGATTGTATGTTGAAGTTCTGGCCTGTCATGATGAGAAGTAAGCTAGACGATGAAAGGAAGTAACGTGGAACGTGGATGTACTGTTCCTACTGTTTCTACTGTTTGTTATACAGCAGAAGGACAGTGTGTCAAGTCAGCAAAGCAAAGGTGGGTGTTTGTTGATCAAAGGCT